CCCCCCCCCCCTTTTAAAAAAAGCTGTATCCGCCCATGCATTAAATGATATTTACAGTTACTTCGTGATACAGCTATAGTGGTTCCACTGCGAGAGGTGAAGGGAGCCTTCCATCCACTGTGAGGCGACAGAACAGAACAGAACTTTATTACGCTCAGGCCGAGATCCTCGGCATATGAGGTACAAAATGACAGCAAAATACACATTATAATAGCGAATATGTGGTTAGCCGGAAGATTTTACAATTTGCATTACATATTTACAGAATTTACTAAGGTTTTTTAATACAGATATCTCTTTACAAGTGAAAAGTCTTTGAAATTTAATCATATTAGGTCTTTTAGAATATGTAGGTGGGATATACAAAATTCTTTCTTTAGTAAAATATGGACATTTAAAAATATAGTGAAATTCATCTCCAATATCATCAATAAAACACAGTTTACATTTTCTTTCACAAATAGGTATCCCATTCCATCTTCCTTTTTCAATTGGTAAGTGGTGGCATGAAGTACGAAATAAAAGTAGAGGGATAGCTTTATTTAGGGGTAGGGACGTCAGATAATTTTCTAATTCAAATTGTGGTTTCAAGAGGGAATAGACTACACTTTTTTTTTAATTTTCCACCTCAGAGCTCCAGGTTTGTTTAGCATGATCAGTTAAAATAGAGTGAGCTGTTGCTTTGAGCCAGGAAGATGAAACAGGAGACTGTGACAACCATACATAACTTAAACCAATATTGTTTAGAACATTTTGAATACATGAAATCCAGTCATAGTTGTTAACACCTGTATTATGGATGTTATATACAATAGAGTAAATGATTGAAGATATTTTGCTGGATTTATCTGTAAGTAATTTCGACCAAAAGGTTAACATACGGGTTTTAACATCAACAGATAACGGAACTATACCTAGTTCACCGTAAAGCATGCATAAAGGGGTACTCTTTTTAACAGGTAATAATTTTCTCATGAAACAAATACGTACATTTTCAATTTGTTTTAGATTAACAAAACCCCATAATTCACAACCATATAATAAGATTGGTTTTACCATTGTGTCAAAAAGATATAATTGGCATTGAATTGATAAATTAAGGTTTCGGCTTTTACGTAGTACGAAATACATGGATTTTGTAGCCTGTTGACATAGATTGGCAATATGATTCAAAATGTTTGATAGCTTTTTTGGAGATTCGTTTTTGAGGAAGCGAGAAGGACAGTGTCATCGGCATATAAAAGAGCAAACAATTTAATAGATAAATCTAGCATGGAATGTGTTATTTCTGAGTTAATTAACAGACCTGGACAGTCTTTGGACATTAAAAATGTTTCTAAGTCATTTAGAAACAAAGAAAATAGAACAGGTGATAAGTTTTCTCCTTGTCTAACTCCTACAAGGCAAGGGAAAAAATCTGATTCAATGCTATGTACCTTGACACACGATTTTATACCACTATACATGGATTTCAAAATTCTGAAACATTTGCCATCTATACCTTGGCTGAACAGTTTACTCCACAAGGCAGTCCTTCTTACATTATCGAAAGCCTTTTTAAAATCAATAAAACAACAAAATAATTTCTTTTTTCTTGATTTAAATAAATCTACAACGCATTTAAGGGTGAATATGTGATCACTTGTAGAATATTTTTTACGGAAACCAGTCTGCGCTTCGGATAAAATATTTTGGTCTTCTATAAAATTTTGGATTCTATTACTAATAATGCTTGTAAAGAGTTAGCCAAAACAACTTAAAAGACTGATTGGTCTATAATTTTCTGGATCATATTTGTCACCTTTACCTTTATAAAAAGGACGAATTATACCACTGAGCCACTGCTCTGGATAAACACCATCATCTAAAATTTTGTTAAATAACCTTACATATACAGGTAGCATAATGACTTGAGTGGTTTTAATATATTCATTAATAATTTTATCAGGGCCACATGCTTTTAAAATTATTATTTTTCAAATTTGCTATGGCAATCAAAATTTCATCACGTGAAATGGCACCATTCAAAACAGAGTTACAATCTTCAATGTTTATATCAAATTGATCAGTGAGATCATCAGACTCTTCATCAGGTGCATTATTTAATTTCTGAAAATATGTAAAAACTTCCTCAAGTGGTGGTAAATCTTTATCTTTATTATCATTCCGCAACAGTTTCCAAAATGATTTAGAGTCCTCTTTACGTAATTTAAATAATTTGTCCTGTATGTCAGATCTTTGAAGGTTATGATATTTTGCCAAAGTGTTTTTGTAAGCCTTGCTTGCATTGATTAGCCTTCTTTTGTTTTGGACACTTTTATGTTTTTGAAATATTGATTTAGCCTGATGATATTTACCTCTACTGATCTTACAATCACGACCAAACCAAGGCTTTTTCTGTCGCCTTTTATGTTCAAACATAGCATTGGTAGGTTGTCTAAAACCAAACACAGATTTGGCACTTTCAATAAATACATTGTTAATATTGTTTACTAGATTGTTCAGAGCTTCTTGGTCCTCGGTTGCACAGTTATCAATGTCCGAAACAATGTTATCGATTTCACCCTGGCGAGAATTAATTACATCATGAAATTGAGAAGCATGTCGTTTGTCCTAGCGTCGGTAGGTGCACGTGGAGTACCAGTACCTTACGAGTATCTCTCACCTGCCATCGTGAGCTCGGCCACAACTGTAAAAACACTTACTTTTTTGTAACAACACCATTCACATCAAAGAAATACCGCAAGTCGGCCCGAGATGTATTCGCAAAACCCAAAGGTCTGCCTCGCGTGCAGACATTTGGAAAAGGGTATACGTAGATTTGGTAAGTCGGCCTCACGTGAAACTGACTAACAAGGCAATTACATACGGATTATGGTAACAAAGGACCCAACCAATTGAAACTTGCGTTAAATAAACAACCTCCCACTTCATGCTCGGCTGTGAAACAACATAATCATTGGCAATCATATGGAGAAGATATCTGATCATCTCTTATGGAAGAACGGTTTTTTTTTATTAAATAAGACAACAAACACGATTCTACACCCCTTACGGGGGTCAGCATAAAACATCATGTACCCCTCGTGATCCTGGTACAACTTATAGTGTAGGAAAACCCAAAGACAAAATACCGGTTTCATGAGGATAAATAAGTCAAGAAAACAAAATTTACATGTAGAATAGTGAAATAGTTTAATCATTATCATAAAGGCGCGCCATCAATCATGTATGAATCCAGTTTTAATAAGGACGAATTTCTACTCAAAGCCAATACATGAAGAGTATTCAAGTTTAAAAATGTTTGCATGACACATGTCAAATATGTTTGGTCAGATGCGTGTTGGAATTGGTCTGCAGCAACCCATGCTTGTCGTAAGAGACGACTAACGGGATCGGGTGGTCAGGCTCGCTGACTTGGTTGATGCATGTCATCTTATCCCAATTGCGTGGATCGATGCTCGTGATGGCAGTCACTGGATTGTCTGGTCCAGACTCGATTATTTACAAACCGCCGTCATATAGCTGGAATATTGCTGAGTGCGACGTTTACAACCAACGAACAAAACCAAAGATCAGTTAATGTTCAAGGAGGACTCATTATTCTAAGAGGGTACATCATGTATTAAGCAAACCATATCACTTTTCTGTCGACCCGTGAAGATCTACACCAGGTCTTCAGCAACCCATGCTTACCGTAAAAGGCGACTATGCTTGTCCTAAGAGGCGACTAACGGGATCGGTGGTCAGGCTCGCTGACTTGGTTGATGCATGTCATTGATCCCATTTGCGTGGATCGATGCTCATGATGTCAATCACTGGATTGTCTGGTCCACACTCGATTATTGACAGACCGCCGTCATATAGCTATAATATTGCTGAGTGCGGCGTTAAACAACAAACAAACAAACAACTTTTCTGTCCGTCAACTGGGACGTCTGCATTTCGGGAGGAAACCGCGTAGCCCCTACCTCTCTCTCAGTCTACATGACTATCCAACGGACCCGTGAAGATTCCGGGGTAGAATAGGTCTTCAGCAACCCATACCTGCCGTAAAGGGTGATTATGCTTGTCGTAAAAGGCGACTAACGGGATCGGGTGGTCAGGCTCGCTGACTTGGTTGATGTATGTCATCGACCCCAATGGCGTGAATCGATGTTCATGACATTAATCACTGGATTGTCTGGTCCAGACTCGATTATTTACAGACCGCCGTCATATAGCTGGAATATTGCTGAGTGCGGCGTTAAACAAGAAACCAACCAACCAACGACTATCCAACGGCCACCAATACGACGTCTTTGATTATTCAAAGAATGCATCTATGGTGATATAATAAACCAAACGATTCACAGATTGGATGGAGGATGTATTAATACACACATATATGGAAACAGATTGTATCCCTTGTGAAAACCACATGCATTAATATTTTACACGTGACTAAGATTTTTCTGACAAAACTGGTTTTGTGTGGATAACGATAATTTTAGAAAATATGGCACACTGGAGTTTCAGAACCCCAAGCTTTTGGTGTTTATCAGCCGTGAGGATATGTCCGGTCGGTCCTATTCTAACCCCCTTTAGCTGTTGGAATAAGCCCCCCTGGCACATACTAACATCATAACATACAAAAGGGGGAGGCGGGGTCGCCTGGGGTGGTGGAGTGTTAGCTCATCACGCCAAAGGCCTGGGTTTGACATGGATACACTGTGTGAAGCCTATTTGAAGAGTTCCCTACAGTGAGTTTCCTGGAATATTGTAGACTAACATCTTGTCTCTGAACAAAACATATTTTTGCAGTTTTTGAAATATATAGTTATAAAATATAATAAAAAGGAGGCAAGAGACTTTCTTCATTTTCATATACTGCTACTGCATTAATCTAGACTTGCAAATATTATAGACTTGCATGGGCTGTATTGGATATATTTGTTTCAGGGTCTGTATCACAGACTAATACTGCAGTAATCTAGACTTGCAAATATTATAGACTTGCATGGGCTGTATTGGATATATTTGTTTCAGGGTCTGTATCACAGACTAATACTGCAGTAATCTAGACTTGCCAAATATTATACACTTGCATGGGCTGTATTGGATATATTTGTTTCAGGGTCTGTACGACAGATATTGCCAAACGCGGCGTAAACCCCAACTCACACACGCCCGCGGGAGCGCCTCAGATAACTGGGCCAACCATGCTTCCAACGAAGTTAAAAGGGCGCGTATGTGTTGTAAGATATACCCTGTATGCTTGGCGATAAAGATATTATGCTTGCTCCTGGTTGTGGTGCTGTTTTCGAGCAGGAAGTGTTATTGCACATTAATGTGATGGTACATTCACATCATGCACTCATCAATGTATCCAAGTTTAGTTTCCCCCCACAAACATACACACAGTCATGTAAATATATACCATCTTCATCACAAACATCATTCAGACAAATCTCATCTTTCACGCCGCAGTAAACACTGCAATCTCTCGTACAATCAACCAAGGCTCTTGGTGCTTTGTAATCTTGACCCTTAAACACATGGCCTTGAACTTGATACTTTCCTCAAGGGAACCAACGTCAATTCGTCCATCTTTGAATTCACCGATCATGATATCGTTCATACATTGTATATTGACCTCGGTTTTCAGTAAGGTCAAACTGGCCTCTAAGTGACCGCTGAGCAGTCTGTCCTCTGGGTGACCTACTGACCCAGTATCTATGATAACTCTTCGCAGCCGATGCGGTTCCTGGAAAACGATGGTGAAACTGTCACCGTCACTTGGTGAACCATGTGTCCAAAAATAACCCTCCGTTTTCTCATAAGCTAGTCTCGGAAGGAACGTCAAAAATGATTTCATTGATGTAAAAACTTCCGCTGGTGGGTTATCTCCCTTGTATAGTTTTGTCATCTGATCAAAAAACCTGTCTTTCAGGGGCTGGATTTTGCCAGGGTAGGACGAGTGAATTCCTTGGTGTTGAAACAACGTCGGTTTACGTAAGCGTTGTACCATTTGCGTGTTCAGCATATTGAAATACAAGTACGTATAATCCACAGGCTGTTCCTCATAAAATAATTTCAACAAGGAAGCTAGCTTCTGCAAGTCCGAATTCTTGTACAACTTCCCTATAAATCCAAGTTCTGAAAATTCCAAACACGTCCATGTCGAATCCGGCTGTTCTGCGATGTACTGTTTAATGGCGCCGATGTATCCGTCAACCGTTATGACGTCGTCTTCAATTTGCATATAATACTTTGAAATATCTAAACTGTATTCAAACATGAAAGCATAATCAAAATTTTGTTTCGCTCGCCATTGTATGTAGTGTTTTTCCTGACCGTATGTGAATTTCGTTATAGTCAAGTTTGGATAATAGCTACTTGGAGTGTGGATCACGTGAAGCATTCCTGCGTCAATAGCATCACTGAAGTTACGCCTGATGTCCCCCGCTAGCTCTGCTTTAACTGTAGGGTCCGTATCGGCCAAAAACACCACAATCAGGACTTCTTTCCGTTCCGCTGGAGACATGTTAGACACCAATGACTTTATCGTATGAGCATAATAGGACGCTCCCTTGCGTTTGATCGTTGGGATTCCTATTGTTAAAAACGCTGAAAGAGAGAGTAGAATGGAATTAGGAGAAATTATACACGTTTGAGATAAAATGTGGTCTAAAAACGCATTCAAGACTATTGCACTAATATAGCGACGTCCATGTGTGGTGGGGTCGGGATGTGGGAGGAGCTACTTGTTTTATCTCGACTAATGCCAGTTTTATAGTGCCACGCCCACTGAGATAACATGCTGGAGTTTTAACATGGACACCCAACTTAAACGCATCATACAGACTCCGATCCGACCAGTCCTTGTTTTATCCCCTTAATGCCTAGCGCCAGACAGGGTAACAAATGCCATATTTGACGTATTTTGGTATGATGCGGCAGTGAACCACATTTGAAATAAGAAAAATAAACCTATGAACTCTTGCTATACAGTGAAACCGCGATATGAGTAAGCACACTGTCTGTAGTTCGAGACACATTTCGATTAAGAGACCGACAATTTGATTTCTCGGATGGGTGTAGGGTGTGGTTAGAAAATCAATGATTGGTTCTTTTCACTTAATGTTGTTTAAAATATAAGTTAACAGTATGACAAACACACCAGGAGGGCCTTTAAAGGGCTAGTTCGCTACATGAACAGCGCTCACAGCCGTCGGTTAGGTTGGTTGGTTGTTTAACGCCGCACTCAGCAATATTCAAGCTATATGACGGCGGTCTGTAAATCATCGAGTCTGGACCACACAATCCAGTGATCAATATCATGAGCATATATCCACGCAATTGGGATACGATGACATGCATCAACCAAGTCATTGAGCCTCACCACCCGATCCCGTTAGTCGCCTCTTACGACAAGCATAGTCGCCTTTTACGGCAAGCATGGGTTGCTGAAGACCTATTCTACCCCGGATCTTCACGGGTCCCGTCGGTTAAAACGAGTCTGCGTACACGGGACCTAGTTCTCTCCAAGACGTAAGCCGTACAAGTCAGCCAGGAAACCATTTGTTTGTTTGTGGTTTGTTTGTTTGCATGTTGTCTAACACTGCAATCAGCAAAATATTCCAGCTATATGGCGACGGTCTGTAAATAATTGAGTCTGGACCAGACAATCCAGTGATTGACATCATGAGCATTGATCTACCAATTGGGATACGATGACATGCACTAACCAAATTAGCGAGCCTGACCACCTGATCCCGTTAGTCGACTCTTACGACAAGCTTGGGTTGCTGGCGACCTATTCTGACCGATGTTCACGGGTCGGCTGATAAGCCACGTACATGCTGCTCGCATATGTCGTTAGTCGCCTCTTGGGTTGCTGAAGAACTATCCTACCCCGGACCAGAGAAGGTCAGCTTTTCATAACCTGGCTGTATTGCGTGTGTCATCGTACCCGGTGGGTGGACCGATGATTATATTAGCCATGACATCGTTGTTTGAACAAAGGATAATCTCGGGTTGACGTTTGTCCATTCACTCACTCACTCATTAAAAGTGGAAATGCTCACCTTTGTCGCGTTTCGGTACAGGAAACAAGAGAGGATTTGGATCCGGCGTCGTTCCCGGCACAATAGAAGTCCCACAGGAACATTCCTGGAAGAAGAAATTGGTGCATACCATTGCTTGTAAACACATTTTACGCCAGCATTGATCTATCTAGACCTGCTCAAAGACTTATTTTCGGCCCCAAAATATGCAGATGTCAGTTATTACCCATTTCCTGTCATAACAGCTATAACTAAAGTTATAGATTTGTGTACGTTGCTGATTCCAGGACCAATAAAGAGTGCTTTGGTGATCACTTTCGCATTACTGCATTGACTGCATTGAGTGAGTGAGTGAGTTGGGTTTAACGCCGCTTTTAACAGTATTCCAGTTATATCGCGGCGTGTCAGCTTAAATCGGGAGGAAAGCCCGAAGTGATGCAGATCTCAGACGTTTACCACTTCGGTGAAACCCACGAGCACGGGTATGGTGCTGACAAACCTAGAAACATAATCGGGGCGAACAATCATAGGTTTCTGGCGTACCCAAGGGACGCAACTCTGCATAGCGAATCGCGGCGCCTTAGACGACTGGGCCACCCGTGCCCCACGCATTGAATGCATTGCTTAAAATATCTCAGAAGTCAAGAAAGTAAGAGAGTCCCAACTTTGCACAAAACGGGTTTTTCTCACTGCGCATGTCAAGGGAAAATCTCAGATAAACACCTTGGATCGAATCAATCGTTATTAAAATGCCCAAGCGAAGGGACAGAACTCTGTCCTGATTTTTTTGTTGGCTTGGTTTACAGAACACCGACCACCAGTTTCCCTTACTAGATGTATGACAATATGTTATGGACTTTCAAAGAAATTGATAGATAAATTGAAAGTATTCAATGAACGCTGTTTCCAAGAGCCGTTTGATCCCAGAACGAGGCTAACAATATCTGGCAATTTTAGGGTCAAGGGATTTCTGCTCAAACACACAAACACTGGTGTCGGGTGCAGAAGAAGCTCTTTATGTGTATACCGGTCACGTGTTATCATAGATATTCCAGTCTTTGGGTATATATCGATTGCTTCCTCTAAGTGTTTTATCTGTCATATGGGGCGTCGATTGCGAGTAGCCTAGTGGTTAAAGCTTTCGCTCGTCACGCCGAAGACCCGGGTTCGATTCCCCATATGGATACAGTGTGTGAAGCCCATTTCTGGTGTCCCCCATCGTGATATTGTTGGAATATTACTAAAAGCGGCGTAAAGCCATACTCACTCACTATCTGACATGACCTCGTTCAATTCGTCTTTGACAGTACAAATTGTATTGAACTCGTTAGCAATCAGTTCAATAAATTCAAACATTCGCTCTTTCACTGTCAAATTAACAATACAGATAAAATAAGTAATCGTAAGAGGTTAGAAATGAGGGAGTTATGCTATCATTGCCTTGATTTCAAGACCAGCAAATATTTTTGCAAACATTGAAAAGGTAACGGTTGGCTGTTCAATCTGATTTGATCAATACACAACATCACGTAGTGCTATTGATTTCACAAATCTCAACAAAGAGATGCCATTATCGTGTATATTACTTTCCGACACCTGTCAATCAATATCTGTCAGGTCGGCATACACCGCTTGTGCATGATGCTTTTAACACAGGGTACTTAACACACAGAAGAGTGAGTGTTAGTGAGTTGGTTTTACGCCACTTTTAGCAATATTCCAGCAATATCACGGCAGGGGACACCAGAAATGGGCTTCACACATTGTACCCATGTCGGGAATCGAACCCGGGTCTTCGGCGTGACGAGCGAACGCTTTAACCACCAGGCTACCCGACCGCCACACACACAGAAGAATACCATGTGGATCATATAATATTATGTCAAAGTTGTATTGGTCTTTTGTGCCAGGGGCCGAGTACGCTCCACGATAAATACACAAAGTCGCTAAAACGTAATTAATACTGAATTTGTTTTTATCGATTCCAAGTACATGTTTTTATCATATAATGGGTAGGTTTCTCGGCAGGATAAAGCCAACGGATAAAAACGATATCCGTTGGGGTCATATGCGGATAGAGATGCAAATATCAAAGGTCAAGTAGGGACTACTTTCACTGTAGGCTCGCTAACTACAATGTTTATTCCTAATGCAGGATATTTACCATCCCCAAACACACTCGCGTGATAACCTCTATATATTATAGATACCTTAGCAAGGAAAACTCGTGAAGATCGGGGTTAGGATTGGTCTTCACCAACCCATGCTTGTTGTCGAGACGACTTATGGGATCGAGTTGTCACGTTTTCTGACTTGGTCGATGCATGTCAGTGTATCCTAATTGCGTAAATTGATCCTCGTGATGTTAATCAATGGATTGTCTGGTGCATGCTAGATAATTAACAGACCGCTGTCATCCAGCTAGAGTATAGGTGAGTGCGAAGTTAAACAAGCAAACAAACAAACAACAGTAACTCGAAGGACTCAAGCTCTTAGCTCCGGGTATGACGAATTCGTCAAGTGAGGAGTTCGTTTATAAGATATAATGGGAATTTTCTATTACTTTTTTTATTTCGATCACTCGGCTTTTACAGCTCTCTAACAACCAAGGAATATCCAAAGGGGTTTGACTAAATGGTAGATCAGCTGTTAAGTATCCAAGGTATATTTTTAATGATTTACGAAAAATGTTTATTTCTTGCCATTTTTAAATTTCCAGTGAGTGAGTGAGTGAGTTGGGTTTAACGCTGCTTTTAACAGTATTCCAGTTATATCACGGCGTGTCAGCTTAATGTGGGAGGAAAGCCCGAAGTGATGCAGGTCTCAGACGTTTACCACTTCGGTGAAACCCACGAGCACGGGTATGGTGCTGACAAACCTAGAAACATAATCGGGGCGAACCGGGATTCGAACCCACAATCATAGGTTTCGGGTGTGCGAATTACGCGTTTGCCTCCTTCCTTCCCAATGATATTAATAATACCCTTTTCGGTTCATGAAGCCCAGGTATTTTTCATGAATTATACCGTGCATTCATACGTTCATCATTTACCAAGCTCTTGCCAAGTTTGTTTATGTCATATAAGAATCATTGTCAAAAGGTATTTTTGTTAAAAAATATTGTTCTTAGTGTGCTCTTCGGGCACCATGATCTATTTAGCCATGTCATTGTGATTTTAACTCTTCCTCTGCCCCAAATAATGGGGTTGTGGAACACTGGGCTGTTCTGAGAATGTGGATCCCAGTGATCCAAATTCCCATTTTGGGGGCAAAGGCACGCTCTGTGATTGTGGAGACCCGTGAAATCCGGGCTAGAGAGAGGCGACTAACGGGTTCGTGTTGTCAGGCTCGCTGGCTTGGTTGATGCATGTCATCGTTCCAAATGGCGTGGATCGATGCTCATGATATTAATCACTGGATTGTCTGGTCCACACTCGATTATTTACAGACTGCCGTCATATAGCTTGAATATTGCTGAGTGTGCCACTGTGATTGTGGAACATATGCTATTGTCATCAGTACTACCTTCACTGGCTCCATCCGTTCCTCGCGTACTTCCATGATGTCTCTCTGGCTGTGCACCCGTTCCAACCTCAGATCCTTAACTGAAACAGTCAGACTGAATTTAAAACATTTACAATCTTATCATCCTTTAATACGGAAGCGTAGTAGGGTCACGGTGATTATTTTTTGTCTCCTACGTAGGACGTATTATCTCCTACGTAGGACTTAGTATCTCCTACGTATGACTTATTATCTCCTACGTCGGACTTCCTGTCAATATGTAGCTACATTTATCAGTATTATTACCATCGGCAATATGTAGCTACATTTATCAGTATCATTACCATCGGCAATATGTAGCTACATTTATCAGTATTATTACCACCGGCAATATGTAGCTACATTTGTCATGAGTATTAATATCATCGACAATATGTAGCTACATTTATCAGTATTATTACCACCGGCAATATGTAGCTACATTTATCAGTATTATTACCATCGGCAATATGTAGCTACATTTATCAGTATAATTACCACCGGCAATATGTAGCTACATTTATCAGTATTATTACCACCGGCAATATGTAGCTACATTTATCAGTATTATTACCATCGGCAATATGTAGCTACATTTATCAGTATTATTACCACCGGCAATATGTAGCTACATTTGTCATGAGTATTAATATCATCGACAATATGTAGCTACATTTGTCAGTGTTATTACCACCGGCAATATATGGCAACATTTGTCATGAGTATTATTACCATCGGCAATATAAGGCTACAGTTATTAAGAGTATTATAACCATCGGCAATATATGGCTACATTTGTCAGTATTTTTACCATCGGCAATATATGGCTACATTTGTCTGTATTATTACCACCGGCAATATGTAGCAACATTTATCAGTATTATTACCACCGGCAATATGTAGCTACATTTGTCATGAGTATTAATATCATCGACAATATGTAGCTACATTTATCAGTATTATTACCATCGGCAATATGTAGCTACATGTATCAGTATTATTACCATCGGCAATATGTAGCTACATTTATCAGTATAATTACCACCGGCAATATGTAGCTACATTTATCAGTATTTTTACCACCGGCAATATGTAGCTACATTTATCAGTATTATTACCACCGGCAATATATGGCAACATTTGTTATGAGTATTATTACCATCGGCAATATAAGGCTACAGTTATTAAGAGTATTATTACCATCAGCAATATATGGCTACATTTGTCTGTATTATTACCATCGGCAATATGTAGCTACACTTCTCAGTATTATTACCATCGGGAATATGTGGCACATTTGTCAGTATTATTAACATCGGCAATATGTTTCTACATTTGTCAGTATTATTAACATCGGCAATATATGGCTACATTTGTCTGTTTTATTACCATCGGTAATATGTAGCTACACTTGTCAGTATTATTACCATCGGCAATATGTGGCTACATTTGTCAGTATTATCAACATCGGCAATATGTAGCTACATTTGTCATGAGTATTAATATCATCGACAATATGTAGCTACATTTATCAGTATTATTACCACCGGCAATATGTAGCTACATTTATCAGTATTATTACCATCGGCAATATGTAGCTACATTTATCAGTATAATTACCACCGGCAATATGTAGCTACATTTATCAGTATTATTACCACCGGCAATATGTAGCTACATTTATCAGTATTATTACCATCGGCAATATGTAGCTACATTTATCAGTATTATTACCACCGGCAATATGTAGCTACATTTGTCATGAGTATTAATATCATCGACAATATGTAGCTACATTTGTCAGTGTTATTACCACCGGCAATATATGGCAACATTTGTCATGAGTATTATTACCATCGGCAATATAAGGCTACAGTTATTAAGAGTATTATAACCATCGGCAATATATGGCTACATTTGTCAGTATTTTTACCATCGGCAATATATGGCTACATTTGTCTGTATTATTACCACCGGCAATATGTAGCAACATTTATCAGTATTATTACCACCGGCAATATGTAGCTACATTTGTCATGAGTATTAATATCATCGACAATATGTAGCTACATTTATCAGTATTATTACCATCGGCAATATGTAGCTACATGTATCAGTATTATTACCATCGGCAATATGTAGCTACATTTATCAGTATAATTACCACCGGCAATATGTAGCTACATTTATCAGTATTATTACCACCGGCAATATGTAGCTACATTTATCAGTATTATTACCACCGGCAATATATGGCAACATTTGTTATGAGTATTATTACCATCGGCAATATAAGGCTACAGTTATTAAGAGTATTATTACCATCAGCAATATATGGCTACATTTGTCTGTATTATTACCATCGGCAATATGTAGCTACACTTCTCAGTATTATTACCATCGGGAATATGTGGCACATTTGTCAGTATTATTACCATCGGCAATATGTGGCACATTTGTCAGTATTATTACCATCGGCAATATGTGGCACATTTGTCAGTATTATTACCATCGGCAATATATGGCAACATTTGTCATGAGTATTATTACCATCGGCTAAATAAGGCTACAGTTATTAAGAGTATTATTAACATCGGCAATATATGGCTACATTTGTCTGTATTATTACCATCGGAAATATGTAGCTACACTTGTCAGTATTATTACCACCGGCAATATGTGGCACATTTGTCAGTATTATTACCATCGGCAATATGTGGCACATTTGTCAGTATTATTACCATCGGCAATATATTGCAACATTTGTTATGAGTATTATTACCATCGGCAATATAAGGCTACAGTTATTAAGAGTATTATTACCATCGGCACTATATGGCTACATTTGTCTCTATTATTACCATCGGTAATATGTTGCTACATTTGTCAGTATTATTACCATCGGTAATATGTAGCTACACTTGTCAGTATTATTAACATCGGCAATATATGGCTACATTTGTCAGTATTATTAACATCGGCAATATGTTGCTACATTTGTCAGTATTATTAACATCGGCAATATATGGCTACATTTGTCTGTTTTATTACCATCGGTAATATGTAGCTACACTTGTCAGTATTATTACCATCGGCAATATGTGGCTACATTTGTAAGTATTATCAACATCGGCAATATGTAGCTACATTTGTCAGTATTATTAACATCGGCAATATATGGATCCATTTGTCCGTATTATTACCATCGCAATTTGTGGCTACATTTGTCATGAGTATTATTACCATCGGCTAAATAAGGCTACAGTTATTAAGAGTATTATTAACATCGGCAATATATGGCTACATTTATCAGTATTATTACCACCGGCAATATGTAGCTACATTTATAAGTATTATTACCATCGGCAATATGTAGTTACATTTATCAGTATTATTACCACCGGCAATATGTAGCTACATTTGTCATGAGTATTAATATCATCGACAATATGTAGCTACATTTATCAGTATTATTACCACCGGCAATATGTAGCTATATTTGTCATGAGTATTAATATCATCGACAATATGTAGCTACATTTATCAGTATTATTACCACCGGCAATATGTAGCTACATTTATCAGTATTATTACCATCCGCAATATGTAGCTACATTTATCAGTATAATTACCACCGGCAATATGTAGCTACATTTATCAGTATTATTACCACCGGCAATATGTAGCTACATTTATCAGTATTATTACCATCGGCAATATGTAGCTACATTTGTCAGTATTATTACCACCGGCAATATGTAGCTACATTTGTCATGAGTATTAATATCATCGACAATATGTAGCTACACTTGTCAGTATTATTACCACCGGCAATATGTAGCTACATTTGTCATGAGTATTATTACCATCGGCAATATATGGCAACATTTGTCATGAGTATTATTATCATCGGCAATATAAGGCTACAGTTATTAAGAGTATTATTACCATCGGCAATATGTGGCTACATTTGTCAGTATTATTACCACCGGCAATATATGACTACATTTGTCATGAGTATTAATATCATCGACAATATGTAGCTACACTTGTCAGTATTATTACCACCGGCAATATGTAGCTACATTTGTCATGAGTATTATTACCATCGGCAATATAAGGCTACAGTTATTAAGAGTATTATTACCATCGGCAATATATGACTACATTTGTCTGTATTATTACCATCGGCAATATGTAGCTACACTTTTCAGTATTATTACCATCGGCAATATGTGGCACATTTGTCAGTATTATTACCATCGGCAATATATGGCTACATTTGTCATGAGTATTATTACCATCGGCAATATATGGCTACATTTGTCTGTATTATTACCACCGGCAATATGTAGCAACATTTATCAGTATTATTACCACCGGCAATATGTAGCTACATTTGTCATGAGTATTAATATCATCGACAATATGTAGCTACATTTATCAGTATTATTACCATCGGCAATATGTAGCTACATGTATCAGTATTATTACCATCGGCAATATGTAGCTACATTTATCAGTATAATTACCACCGGCAATATGTAGCTACATTTATCAGTATTATTACCACCGGCAATATGTAGCTACATTTATCAGTATTATTACCACCGGCAATATATGGCAACATTTGTTATGAGTATTATTACCATCGGCAATATAAGGCTACAGTTATTAAGAGTATTATTACCATCGGCAATATGTGGCTACATTTGTCAGTATTATTACCACCGGCAATATATGACTACATTTGTCATGAGTATTAATATCATCGACAATATGTAGCTACACTTGTCAGTATTATTACCACCGGCAATATGTAGCTACATTTGTCATGAGTATTATTACCATCGGCAATATAAGGCTACAGTTATTAAGAGTATTATTACCATCGGCAATATATGACTACATTTGTCTGTATTATTACCATCGGCAATATGTAGCTACACTTTTCAGTATTATTACCATCGGCAATATGTGGCACATTTGTCAGTATTATTACCATCGGCAATATGTGGCACATTTGTCAGTATTATTACCATCGGCAATATATGGCAACATT